AAAAAAAAAGTCTGACAAAACCCAAACTATACACATTTATAGGCAGCTACATGCTCGTTTTCTGGAAACTTCATTTGATTTATTATGAACACTTCCTTTTCCTTCCCTCCATCACCAAACCTCATTACAAACAAAGTAGATAAGGCCCCTTGGTCACAGCAAAGAAGCAATATTATGGAAAATAAAATTGTTTTATAGCATGACAGAAACATTAATTTAAAAGGAGGTTTTTGCTCTTATTGAGTGAAGATGCAGCTTCATCTTTCTTATACAGTCCATCTAAGATATCGCTTCTTGGCATTATCAGCTATGCCTTGAATCAGCAAGTTTAAATGTGCTAACAGAAAACATTCTATTCTTTTTAGTTCCACTAAAATGCTCTGTTTTTTCAGTCCCTTCTGCCTCTATTTAAGCAGACTGACCAATCTCTTAATTTTGTCCAGGTTAGAGTGTGCATTTAGCAACTCCTTTGCTGCTACTTTCCAACCTAAGCAAATGCAAGAAGGCTTTTTGTGTATTAGCACTTACTCTGGATATGGTCAAGGGCATGTTGAAGTCCTTTCCCCCTTGCAGTCGGAAACCCCATGGTCCAGGTCCATTTAGAGTCACGTTGTAAGACATTTTGTAACTCTTTTACGCAGGTCACCAAAAAGGCTCTACAGAAAAGGGGTATGGGGAGGGAAATAAAAGAAAATATTTTTAAAAATAAAAAAAGACATTTACAAATATTGAGAACACAATAATTGCTTCTTTGTTGCCTTGCCTGCTCAGTCCTGCTGAAGTGCCACCTAAGAATAGATAGGAGCTATAATACAGATACTGATATCCCAGCTGAGCTGGGGCCCATAAAAGGCTTGTAACCAAACACTTACTATGCAAGGACTCCATGACTCAGAGATCTAATATAGCCCCCTGGGAGGTTAGCAGATCTTTCTAGGCTCCCCAAGTCCCTCTTCATGTTCAGAACTACTTTATTTTATATTATATATAAATTAAATAAAAACAAAAAGCCACTACCAACAGCAACCCCAGCACCTAATTTAGGATTCACTGGAAGCCCAAACATTAATATCTTGCTAACAACTGCAAGACTTTTGCTTTCCAAAGCCACTTATAACTGTTGCTCCACAGAACATAAATTCATATTTACTTCATTTTGAGATTTCATGCACTACAAATCAAGTTGTTTTTTTTTTTTATACTGACCCTTTTCTTATGTCCCAAAGTAGATGAATTGGGAAGCATTTGCTCCTTTCTCTGCATTGACCTGGTAAGCTGGAAAATTTGCTGCAGCACTGGAAAAATATCTGCCCCATATACCCACCAATTCATGAAAAGATGTTTGCCCCTTGTTTCTACAGCCTTTACTTCTACAGAAAAATATAGTTTATTCTGTTATCATGCAACAGAAGTGGCTTTTTATTGTTTTTCATAAAATCACCTTGGATTTATAAAAGATCTCTACAGCTAAAGCATTTTGATCATGTTACTGTCAGGTGACATAAGAATTATCAATTAAGAAAAGAGTAGCTAAAGACAATACACTTGGACACACTGTTTTCTAGTTTATTTTTGGAAGGTTTGATAATTTGTCTCCATTTCTTAGTAAATTGAACATTTTCAAAAAAAAAAAAAAAAAACAATCTTTTGCTCTCTAGCAAGTCAGAAAATATTAAGCCAGTATGCAAACATTATTAAATTAAATCTTTCAATCACCATATGGTGTAGAAAGAACAGGAGTACTTGTGGCACCTTAGAGACTAACAAATTTATTAGAGCATAAGCTTTCGTGGGCTACAACCCACTTCTTCGGATGCATAGCCCACGAAAGCTTATGCTCTAATAAATTTGTTAGTCTCTAAGGTGCCACAAGTACTCCTGTTCTTTTTGCGGATACAGACTAACACGGCTGCTACTCTGAAACCTGTCATATGGTGTAGGTAACTCTTACCCTTATTTTTCACTGAGGAACATTGACATCTAGGGAAGTTAAGTGAGTTACCCATTGTAACAGAGTGGGTTATTGGCAGAGCTGGGAATAGAACACAGAATTTGAGTCCCTGTGCCAAGTTCTAACAACTAGTTAAATGTTTCCTTACATCAAGCTATCTACTTTAGCAAACTTCTTCCTACCTATGGCTTCTAACAGCACAATAACATTGCAAACAAGCATCACAAATTGGTATGGACAACAGGACATGTTGTATGGCAGGATATTTGTTTAAAATCCTAAACATTCTATCTAGTGGAATTGCCTCTTGGGCATATGGAGAAGATAACCTCTTCTACTTGCCCAGAACAACCAACCCACAATACCCATGTAATTAAAATCACCACAGCACCAAAGCAGACATGGCTTCAAGGGGAAGATGAGATTTATAAGAGACTCACAGTTTGTACCTGCCTATTCATTTCTATGGCTAGACTCCAAGGGTATGTCTACACTGCACATGAAACCCAAGTTCTGACTCAGGTTTGAGCCCACGCTCCACTTCCATTCACACACAAATCAGTCTAACTTGGGTCGGCCAGAACTCAGGTCCTAGGACTTGCTGGGGGAAGTAGATCCCACTGTGACTTGGGTCCAAGCACTGTCATTTTGCAGTGGGAATGCAGGTCAAGCAGCAGACCAGAGTCACGTTTGCATAGTCCAGTATGGACACGTTAGCACAGCTGTGAGACCTGAGTCCAGCAACTGTAAACTCAGGTTTACAATGCAGTGCAGACACTCCAGCACAGGCTTGGAGACACTGTCTCCAAGCCAAGTCCCACAGACTCGGGCTTACTGTGCAGTGTAGACATGCCCAAAGTCTCTGTAAAATGCGAAACCAGCTTATTTAAGCACCACCTCACTGCAGGCCTCACTTGTTGGTGCTAAAACAATTCATTTGTTAACACCATCAGTTATGGATGGAAGGTCATAAGTTTAAACACCTACTCTCTCACTTGGGCTAATTACTTAGTGTTGACAATTCAGTGTAATACTGTATAGGGGACCATGGTGTTAGATGGGGGCAGTCTTCCCGCTGAGAAACTACAGAACCCATGCAGCTACAGGTGCTGTCTTTCAAGTGAAACATAAAAATTGAGAACTTAATTAGTCCAGGTCATTGAAGAAGAGAGATCCCATAGCACTTTCTACAGGAGTAAGGTTGTTATTTCCAAAATTCTGTCTGCATTCCAACTTGAGTAATTGCATTCTGCTTATCTATATTCCCCTTTAATTTCAAATGAGCACAATATGTTCTTCATTTGCTGCACCTCCTAAGAAGCTACATAGTTCCTTCTTGTCATCCCAGATTGATGAATGAAGTAATCCCTATTTGTGTGTTGGTGAAAAACAAGAACGTAGCTGTCCTCCGATAAACTAGAGACAATCAAAGGCACATAATGAGCGGAAATCAGTTAAAAGTGTTGATGGGAGGTCAGTCTGTAAATGGCACTATTGCTACAGCATAAATCCTAAATGCAGTAGAGAGGCTAGAAAAAGCAAACCACCACCACTGTCCTATTTAGTATTTCTTGGGTATAGATTTAAAGCCAGAAGGAAATAAAGAAAAGTATTCATGTTCAGGCTTATTTTGGCAGTTTGTCAAAAGAGCAATTTGTACAACAGGGATTAATCATGTACTCGTAAGGAGTTGGCTTAAATCATACCTCTGTATTTCCTACCAAAGGTCCAAATGCTGCCCTAAGTTACCACTGATAATAGAGAATACTCCAATAATAGAATTTACTCCAACCCAAATGCAAGGTAGATACCTCCAAAACATGCTGCAAAGGGCCCAAAATATATTGCTGTGTGTAATATATGATCATAAAAGCCGCATAATGGGTCAGACCATGGTCCATCTTGGCCAGTATCCTGTCTCCAACAGTGGTCTGTACCAGAGTTTCAGGTAGGTGTACAGAATAGGGCAATTATGGAGTAATCCAACCCTGTTTTCTGCTCCAGGCTTTATATTATTTTTGTACTATATATATATACACACACACACACACACACACACACACACACACACACAAAAATAATTGACTGGTCAGTTGACCAAATATTGTCAAATAATGGAAAAAATGGTCAAATACTTTAAAGCTCTAATTTATTAGAATAGTGACAAAAAAAAAAAAAAAAAGAGTGAGACTTTACGGTCTTCTCCTCCTTCCCCTCCTATGAATTTGTGACAAGTTTCAGAGCATGTAGCGGAAAAGCTTCAAAGAAAGATCAGTTGCTGTGTGTTTCATGTAATGTGGAGAGGTATGAAGCAGATAACATACTAGGTCTCTTCCATCTCTAGATGTTACAATTCTACTTGTGTGAACAAGATCTAAGCAATGTCAATGTAGCACTAGGCCAGGTACACAGTAACTTAATGGCTCACTACTATGGTTCTTCAACATTTTCCTTCTGTGGATCACTATACGAGAGAGATCCTCTCATAGAATATCAGGGTTGGAAGGGACCTCAGGAGGTCATCTAGTCCAACCTGCTGCTCAAAGCAGGACCAATCCCCAACTAAATCATCCCAGCCAGGGCTTTGTCAAGCCTGATCTTAAAAGCCTCTAAGGAAGGAGATTCCACCACCTCCCTAGGCAACCCATTCCAGTGCTTCACCACCCTCCTAGTGAAAGAAGTCTCCCCCCCCACCAATATCCAACCTCAACCTCCCCCACTGCAACTTGAAACCATTACTCCTTATCAATGTCAAAAGAACATTGCTACCAGAAGTGGGGTTTGAACCCACGCAGACACATATCCATTAGATTTTAAGTCCAACACCTTAACCACTCGGCCATTCTGGTAAGTGCATAGACCACTGAGAGTCACTGACTCACTACAATAGATACTGCTGTGGAAAAGGAATTAAAATCATTAAATCAGTGTTACAGTTTATGAAACAGAACTCTGAGGACAGCGGTAAAGTCTGTACTATTTAATCAGATAAAGGAAAGCAAATGGTGTTTACAAAAATGTCTTAAAAAGCAGTAGAGGATAGGAAAATACCTGTGTAAAATCCCTGAATGGCTACCTCTGTTCAGTTTACTGTTTGAGAAATAAAAGACGCCACTTATTCAGACACTGTTAAACAGAGGTCACTTGTGCCTATTTCTTTGGTGGTTCTCCATATCCATGTTAAAGTTCAAGATAGCCTGGCATTTTCAGGGAGAATATAAGCAACAACTCTTCTGTCCTGGACAACATTCCCTTTCAATACAAACAGGATCTAATGCCCAAGGCAGCGTGAACTATGTTTCCATGTTTGCCCACACAGTCACTGTACCAATAGCAGCATTGGAGAGAAGAGATTATAGAATGCTAATTTCCCTGCTCCCCCTTTACTGTGTCCCTTTCCCTCCCCACTAACTCTGCCTCACCTACCCCTCTCTCTTGTTCCCTTCTCTTTGCCACTCCTCCATTTAAGCCTTGTGCCACATAGTGAGCTGCTATAGCAGCCAGAACTCTTCATGCTATAGTCATATCACCAGGTTTGCTGTGAAGTCCTGCAGTACAGATGGTGCTTGTTTTGCGCATATTCTTGCATCTGGAGCAGAGGACTGGTGGTGTGACAGCCAGTTATATGCAGTCATGAGTGTCACTCCAAATGAAATAAATTCCACCGCCCTCTGTGCTGATCATATGGTGTCTGATTTTCAAAGACCCAGTGACTGCTGGAGTCACTGGGAAATGCAGGTGCTCAACACATCGGTGGGGCAGGGGGGAGGGAGGGGGAAAATCAGGCCCATAAGCCCACAGGGAGAATCTGGGGCAAAGAGAGACAACTAGGTTGCTGCATTGTGTACCATCCC